CAGTGTAGAGGCCGAGCTAATGCTCAAAGGCAGCACATTCCAGAGCCTAAGGGCCGCTACAGAGAAAGCCCCGTCATCTCTGAGCTTGCGCCTTGTTTGTGGGACTTCCAGGAGCAGGAGGAAAGAGCAGAATAAGGAGAGGGTAGGGATGAAGGTTACACCAAAAGCCAGCTTGAACAGGTGAGTTTTCAGCTGCTTTTTTAAAGGAGACTACTGAGTCCACTGATCTCAGGCTCAGGGGGAGAGAGTTCCAGAGTCTGGGGGCCACAGCAGCAAATGATCTGTCACCTTTGGTCTTTAGCCTGGTGCTGCACAACCAGTAGGCTTTGGTCACTGGACCTCAGGGACCTGCTGGGGGTGTAGGGACTAAGAAGATCACCAATGTAAGATGGTGCTTGTCCATGTAAGGCCCTATAGACCAGAACCAGGATCTTGAAATGAACCCTGAAGTTAAACAGCAGTCAGTGAAGCTGGAGGAGAAGCGCGGTGATGTGGGTGTGTTTGGAGGACTTGGTCAGAAGCCGAGCACAGGCATTCTGAACCACCTGTAGACGTTCAGGGAGGTTCTGCTCAGACACGTGAAAAGAGAGTTACAGTAGTCTAAGCATGAGGAGATGAAGGTGTGGAGAACTGTCTCAAGGTCAGAGCGGGACAGAATGAGACTCAGCTTAGCAATGTTCCTGAGATGGAAGAAGGAAGAGCAAACAAGAGAACTGACATGAGAATCATGTTGGTCGAGTCACTTCTATCTCCATTTCAGCGATGCTCTGACGAAGGCTACAGTGGAAGCCTAAACATGTCAGTAAAATGATAAAAACAAGCTGTGTGATCTGTGTATAGAGAAGAAACAAATGGAATCAAGTGGGTGACATATTCCAACATCCAACTTTCTCTATTCTTCAAGAACAAGCTTTTTTTAAGAGCCTGGATGCTGGATGGAGAGCATCTCTCCAGAATTCCCCACAGGTGTTCAATTGGGTTTAGATCAGGAGACATACTTGGCTATTTAATCATCTTCTCCACGTTAGTCTTCAGAAATCAAACAGTAGTTTTAGATCATTGTAATGGAAAAGTGCATGATAACGTAGGGCATTGAGGGATTGTAGCAATATCCAATATCCACATTTCCACTGAAGGAGTTCTGGGAAACTTCTGGCAGTGGAAAAATTGACGGGGCAATAGGCTTGGTACTCTGTGCCTTCACCATTAGCTCTTCTAACTTTACAAATGTCACTTTGACATCTGCTGATGTCATTTCCTACTAACAACCAGCCAGCGTGAGCTAACCACAAGTTCTGCTCTGCGCCTTCACTATGACATTCTGGGTACCTAGGTACTCCCATCAGTTCCTGAAAATGGTCCATTTGGCTGGCCTGCTGAAGTTCTGGTAAATTTACCATGAAGTATGAAATTCTGCTCCTCTGCACCATTCACTGCCACCATTGTGCTTCACTGTTGCCACATGCAGTTTTTTTCTGAATTTGTCACCTGTGCGACATCTTAGTTCAGAAGCAATCACTTCTGAAAAGTGATCATTGTCTCATCACTCCAGAGTAGAGCTCCAGTAGGCTTCATTTTCAGTATGAGCCTTGGTAAGTTCTTGGAGTGCTTCTTGTGTCTGGGGTTTCGGAGATGCTTCAGTTATGAACGATAAGCATGCCATTTGTCTGGAGTGCGCACCGTATAGCGTGACAAGAAACAGTCACTCCAGTTTGGCTTCCAATTTCTTTGGCTAACTGCAGTGATCTTGCAAGGTGCTAAAAGTCATAGTCAAAAGGTTAGTTACAGTGCAGAAGGGGCAGCATAAGAAATATTTATTCAAAGGCTGATGAAGACATCAAGTTTTTAAATTTTTATTTAAAAGTTAATAGAGTTGGGGCACATTTGAGGCGACAGGGAAGCTGATTCCACCTGTGTGCAGCATAGTAGCTAAAAGCAGCTTCACCCTGTTTGGTTCGGACCAGGGGTTCTACCAGCTGACTGTTTCCTAAAGATCTGAGAGTTCTGCTTGGTGTTTATACTGGAAGGAGAGCAGGTGTCGGTACAGGATCTGCTCGGGTGCAGGATAGGCTCGGGGTCCTTCGACTGCCGATGACGTCACATTACTGCAAATCTACTCGGCTTTCACACATACGTTTTGGAAAGACATCAGCAGTTTTGTTCATAAATTCTTGTTAACACCTAAATGTTTTCTTTATAATTGTAATTTGTTAATAAATCACCATATTATCTTTGTTTTGTAAAGAATGTGAAACTGCATAAAACCAACATCGGACTGATAAAAAATAGAACAGTTCTTATATGTGAAGCCATTTCTGTGGAGTTCGTCTGTATATTTCTGTAGTTGTTAACTAAATACATTCTTTGACTCTAAATATTGCTTGGTGTCTTTCAATAAAGTTCTTATATTTTATTTTGCCCCATTTCATCAACATCAAGAGCTTTTGAGGGTCACATTTATCATTTGCTTATATTTTACATTTCCTTTAGAAATTTAAATATATTTTCTCCAAAAAGTGTTGATTTTTGGACTACAGGACTACAACCACTAAGACTACGACCACAAACTTGTTCTGACGAATCAAAATCATAACGTGATAACCTCACTTCCGTAACCTTCATGTTCAGCCAATCAACTACTCTGACGTCATCGGCAGTCGAAAGACTCCGAGCCGATCCTGCACCGACACAGGCATGTACTTTGGTCACATGTCATTAAGAGATTTATAGACTAGTTTCTCTGGGTCTTGTTTTGACATGAGACCTCTGAGTCTTGCTAATTGATGCAGGGTATCTGCAGGTTTAAGTGAGCCAAATTTAAGACCTTTTAAGACCTTTTTTACGGACAATTTGACAAGAATTTAAGCAATTTTTAAAAATTTAATTTAAGCTATAATTTCCAGCTACTGCCTGGAACCGGTACTAACCATGTCGGGAACGTGGGATTAGCCATCCAGTTACCATTAAACTTGCACTTCCCCATGGCGCAAGCTCCCACTAGCTTAACCAGCTAATGTGCTCATCTTCAATTAGCCTCCTTTCACAACCAACTGAATGTGTACGGTTCCGCTTACGCCAATATCATACACAAACAATGCTGAACACTAACTAGAAATACACGAAACATTTGTAGTAATAAAAGAATCTTGTTTATTGGGTCTTTGGTCATTTAAGACCTTTGGAAACTGTATTTAAGGATTATTTGTAATTTTTAAGGATTTTTAGGGCCTTAAATTTGGAAATGCAAATTTAAGACTTTTTAAGGACCCGCGGATACCCTGTGATGGAGATGATGAAACACTGATCTAGATGTAGCCTTAATGTGACCAGTGAAGCTCAGGTTTGAATTAATGGAAACATCAAGATTTCTAACCACATTTTCATAAGCTCGCTAAAAGCTGATGCAGTGTTATCAAATACCTTTTGAGTTATGATGCATAACATGTAAAACTGATGTCAGAAAAACACATAAATGGTCAGAGGCCAACATCCTTAACGTCTCACACAACATCTTTTGGTTGATTTTCTCGGGTTTTGTGACATTTCTCTTCACAGATGCCACTGCTGACAGGACGAGAAGTGGTTGTCTTCAAGTGATGCTCTTTTGGATGTACCCGTCTGCTGGACACCTTTATTTTTAGACTCAAATGTGTGAGTTAAAATTGGCTTTCCTTTAAGACGTTTAGTTGTCTAATGGGCTGCATGGTGGCGCAGTGGTTAGCACTGTTGCCTCGCAGCACGAAGGTTGCAGGTTCGAAATTCGGCTGCGGCTTTTCTGTGTGGAGTTGCGTGTTCTCCCCATGCATGTGTGGGTTTCCTCCGGGTACTCCGGTTTCCCCACAGATCACAACATGCCCTACAGGTAATTGTAAGTCGCTTTGGATAAAAGTGTCTGCTAAATAAACATAATTGTGGTGTACTATTGCAACATGGACTTGAATAAATATGCTGGGAATTTTACTTTTATGTGAGCAGATCAACAACCTTGTTTACAATGTATATGACCGACATTTGTGGGATTATTTTACAGTACAGCACACAATGGAAGATGTTGATCCTAACAGGAAACTAAAATTACTGACAAATCTGATGGGGTGTGCGCATTTGTGCTGATCACTGTCAAATCTGGATTTGGTTAATAGATATGAAGCAACAACATTTAGGGCTATAATCCCATATCAGATCATGTAACAGCTGCTCTGAGTAACTTGTAGTTTATATACTAGTTTGTAAAAAGGAGAAGGGCATATCAAAGTTTCCATCTCACCTGACTGTCCAACTTCTATTTCTGGCAAAAATGTAAACACAGGAAACACACAAGGTGACTGAAAACAAGCTAACAGACTAAAAGACATCCAGAAACCAGGGTTAAACGCTTCTGAGGGAGTGCTATTGAAAAGGAGTAAACATAATGAATCTTATTTTGCATCATGATCTGACCAAACAGTTTGAGATTAAACTAAAATAATTACTGTTTTGGCTCCACCCTTTTATGCTTTTTTTTTATTTATTTATTTTTTAACATTTTAGGAGTCAAAACTACATCAGAATCATAAAAATTGTCTTTAAAAAACCAAAACAATTTTATGTTTGTCAATTTTAAGAAAGGAAAAAAAACAAAAAACAATGAAGTTGCTCAGTGAAAGTGAGGCTCATATCAGATGTGGAGCAAATATTTAAGAAGTCAAAAGAACAGGAAATCACAGTTTTCCAAATCTGTGTCCAGGAGAGGCATCAAGCTGAACGCCGGTAACAGTTATAGGAAACTATTTGTAGAAACACTGAGGACATGAAAAATCCATCAGTAACGGACTCCTCTGTTTATTCATTCTTCTGCTCTCTGCAGGCTTCAAAATGAAAGAATGATGGAGACTGGTTTTTAGTGCTCATTGTGTTTAAATGGAGGATAAACAATTATATACAATGACTTCTATTGGTCAAATAAGCTATTTTATACTCAATGTGTTGCAGAAAGTATGAAAGAAGACTCAATGACATCA